ACCCTCTAACTCTAGCACTCTCTATTCTAATTCTATTCTTTAAAAAAAAGCGCCCCTTTTAGACTTGCACTCTCTTTATTTACTAACTGCTTGTTTTCTTTAAAAAAAAAACTAACACTACCTTCTCTAATCTTTTTGTATTTTATCTATTTGTTTTCTTTTTATTTATTATACAATTAACAAAAGCAAAAAAGGCCTCTAACACTAGCTTGCTCTATTCTATCGGTTTTCTTTTTATTTATTATATAATTAAAAAAAAAAACTTGCTACGTGTACTGCGTTAAGCTGTAACTGAGACTGCGACTTGTTATAGCACTTGCATATCATTGCTTTTTTGTTGATTTTGATTGCTTCGTAAGTCGCTTTGGATAAAAGCATCTGCTAAATGACTAAACGTAAATGTAAGAACAAACCAAAAAAATGGTCAACTTGCTGCTCTGACATCATGTACCAATGTACAGACAAAAAGATGCTGAGACATTTCTGAACTCATTTCTGAGTAATTTATGATTGAGTTTTAGGGAATGACAACAGTTAGAAGTTAGTGCATGATTAGGCTAGGGTAAGTGAAGCTCCCACTAAACAAACTTAAAATGAAGTTTAAGGGTTGTTTAAGTGTCCTAAAACTATTTGAACACAACGGAAAAATCGAAATCAACAATCCACAAATTAACAACGCTTTTGGCAATATCCTACACACTTTACCTTCAGATCCTGGCTGTTTCAGGACACCAACGGGCACCATTACGGTTGGGGGTGGGGAGCAGAGTGCTCCTGATGCCTGGGCTTGTTGCAGAGGGGGAATAGTGGAGCAGTACTCAGATGGGTTGTTGGGATTTGGGCTCTGGTTGCCTCCTCCTCCCATGTTCTCCCATGCTTGAGCTAATAAGTAAGACGCAGAGTTCAAAGGATCTGGTTATTCACATAGTACACCTAATTTCAAGTCTTGACTGGTTCATTTCTGTATAAAAAAAGACATGTAACCAAAACTCCTGTGAAGTGATTCAATCTGGGAAATTCTGAGGTACAAAAACTCCCAGTCTATAGAGGGAAATTTATAACTACTCCTATGAGTTTCATATCACTCACCATTCATAAGTGCACGATGGCAGGTAACACAAACCCTCGCTTCTTTCCTGTCCATGTACATCAGCCTGCTTTTCAGACTACAACAAGCAGCACAGAACACCTGGCCAAACACACCACGAACAAAATATGTTTGCTTTGATAGAAACAACACCAGAAAATGAGACATCATAACAAATGAGGCATAATAACAAAACAATGGAAAGAAACTACATGAATCGGTCATGAACCAGTTGTCAGAACATCAGAAGTGGTCTAGAACAATCACGCTTCTGTCAGATTATACCATTTTGCACCACAGATACATTTCATTTTCACTCTGCTCTTTCCAGTTGTTCTTTCCAGCCCATATCTGTGAAAATGTCATCAACAATGCAGCAATTTATCACCAAGGGAAATTAAGGTGTTAGCTATTCCAGCAGTCTTGCAGTTATTTTAAGTGCTGCATCGACAGCCATTTCTCCCTGAATGATTTTGACAGTTTCACAGGTTTGGAGCTGCCTGACAATTACCCTTACTTCCTTGCAATTTTGCTCTCTCATTCTAAGTCAGCGTCCCACTAGCTGATTCAAAGCAGCTTGATTTTGGTCAAGGATGTCACATCCGACTTCTCCTCCTGAAATTTTGCCCTCTTCTGTCGAGGGTCTGTCACATTTACTAATTAAGAATGGAAGAGGGGTGCAACAGATGAAACGAATGAAGTGTAATGCAAAATACTTACAACATAATTTGAGAAAGTACAAACAGATTGGTCTGCGGATGATTGGACAAACTTGAATTCTGCTTGAGCTTCCAACTTGCCAGAAGCCAATATCAAATTGATTTCAAATTTCTGAAGAAAACACAAGTGGTGCTTACCTATGCACTGCCAAAAGGCAAGTGTTGTGGCCTGTTGCCAGTTTGCTGGTTTTCAAGCATGTTGATAAGAGTAGTTTTGGTAGTTACTTGGCCAAGTCAAAAGAGCCAAATCTTATCTTAAGCCTGATTGCTTAGAAAAGTAACATCACACCACTCCTCAAAAATTTGTGCAAATTAAGAAATCATGTACCTTGTCACAAACGAGTTACAGCCCGTTAGTTAAATACTTGGATAAGGGATTTGAGTAAACTTGTCTTAAAAAACACCACAATAATGAACAATAGGCTTTACCTTGCCACAAGCCCGACAATGATGCCTTCTTTTAGTAAAGGTGAACTTGACCTCGCACTTCATGCAAATGGGTGCTTGGGAGTCAGGAACCCAAACAGGAGCCACTTCCCCCAAAGAGTTGAAGGGTTTCTTCAATTGCTGTCCTGCCTGAAGGTCATTGTCTGGACTCTCAGAAGGGATGAGCAAGCCAGAAAAGCTATCTCCATGCTCTCCATTCATTCGAACGACCCCAGACTCAGTTGCTCCACAAGACGCCTCAAGGCCTCCTGTCCTACTCTGTGGCTCCAGGTTCTTGTTCTTGCCAGTGGAGCCAAATTCATTCTGGACTTGGCTCGAGAAAGGCTGGGGAATCTGCAGCTTCAGACTGACAGGCTGTTTCGGGCGGGCACCACCGTAGGGAACGCTGACAGGCTGCAGCCGGCTGTTGTTGAGTTTGCCCATTCTGCCAGATTCCAGTCCTCTAAGTGAATCACAACACTCTTGTTTGCTTTCCTCCATTTCTTTTTCCTCTGTCACAGAGTCCTCCTTTGAAGGGACCGCTGACTGGCTTTGCGCATCTCCACCAAGATCCACAATCAGACCATTGGACAGGGACTTCTCCGCCCCTGATGATTCAGACTCTCTGTGCATTCCCTCGTGGTCACTCTCTATCGTTTTCTCTTTCTCTTCCTGATTTGACGCCCATGTGTCTTTCCCTGCCATTTCATTCTCAACCAGTCCACCATTTTGAAAGGCACCCTCATGATTCTCCCTCTCACAATCCAGTTCTCCGCCATCACTCACTGATTTGTGCAAAACTGCTTCCCCTTTCTGGGGATTACTTCCTTCTGGAAATACCAGATTACAGTCCCTCACTCCGACCTCACGGACAGGTGAACCACTGTCAGACTGGCTTGCTTCCATCTTAACACCATTATTCAAAACTGGTGGCCCATTCCCACACTGTTCCTCGAGAACAGTGAAATCTTGAAGACCACCGCCACTTCCCTCGTTAGTACCATTCTGCTCTATCTTAAACTCTCGGGGACCAGTGTCCTTAACACTTTGCTCATCCGTAACAGTTTGACATGTCTCATCTTCGTTGACCGGAAGAACGTCAGTCCGGTCACTAAGATCAGGACTAGATGGATAACCATTTTCCAGCACCACTCTGTTGGAGGACGGCAAGTCTGGCAACTGCCCATCAGTGCTCACCAGCTTGCCAATGTTGGGCTGGGGCAGAGGAGGACTGTGAACATCTGCTGGCCGTTCTTCACTCCTGCCCTCTGGCTGCTGCCCCACCCCCTGTTTCCCATCTAACCTGGTGACCTCAGCCAAAGAGAGGCCATCTGACGTCTGGGCGTCTAGAAGCGGCTTGAAGCTGATAGGACTGTCCCTTGGGCTGAGATTGGAGTGGGTCAGTGCTGGATTCAGGGAAAGGAGGTGTGATGGCGGGGCGAGAATCTGGGTCCACTTGGCATCCGAGAGAGTCGGCGTGTCCGTTTCATCTGAAAGGATGAGGAGAGAGCTCATTAGCTTCCTTTTTGAGAAAATTGAAACAAACAGAAGATCAATTGAAAAATGAGGTCAGGCTAGATTGGAAAATGTTAAGGAAGTGGGCCAATCTGGTCATCGCCTTGGGATCCATCTGTCAAACTGACACATGAATGCTTTGGAATGTGGGCAGGCATTCCCTTTCTCTTACATACGTCCAAGCATACACACACACTGCTCTCCCAGCTTATTCGCCTTTCTTCTGGGGCCGTTTAATGGTTTCGAGTCTCCTTTCACCTCCATTAATCTGTCAAGATTAGTGTCGGAGAGGGGATATACATTCGTTCCACCGTTCAGTGGCGACACTAAGAGGGTGGCTGTGTGTGAGGCAAGTCTGTGTGGCTTTTAATGTTCTTTGTGACATACAGGACAAAGCAATCAATACATTTCAAACAGTCAATTTTATATGGTTGTGCACCAGGAGATGTTGTTCCGCTTAACCCAGAACCGTGAACAAAATAACACTAATTGCAATATCCTGCTATAACTCAAATGCATATGCAACCTTAACCTTGTAAATTACATGTGCTTGACTACGTGACACCATTTAAACAGTGTTCAGGAAAATCAGGGAGAGGCAGCAGTCCTAAGGGGAAATGCTAATTCAATTGACCCCATTTACACTACAGACTGCTGCCACCAGCACTGCTACCTGCTTGTGCTAGCCATGCTGTGTGCAGTTCAACCCAAGCGGCAACGTCAAATATTTGTTCTACTTCTGTCGGCACCTGTGTTACTCTGTGTTCAGTTCATTATGCTCTAATTCACCTGACTATGTGGGTTATCTGAAGATATGTAAATGTGCTGAGACAGAGTATCTTTTGTTACTAACATTACAGAAGTATGCCCTCAGAACACCTCTGACTGTCAGAGCTTTATTCTTTTTTTTTTTATTCTAAGCATTCTCCTACCTTCGTTCTGTTCAAACTCATCCAGCACCTTGTCCAAGTTAAAGGCCTCAGCCTGAAAGTAATTCTCCATGGGTCAAGAAACTCCACCCTGCCAAGTGCCGTGTGAACCTGAAAGGGAAGTTGCCTTTTTCATGAGCACATAAATACAATATTTTCCACATGCTCCAGTAATACGGAGCACTAACAAGGTAAAACAACTACAACTAGCGATTCATCATAAGTGATTTATCACAGAGCCTTTTCCTCTTTAAGAGTACATGTCATGGAATAGTTTATAACTAATATAACCATCAACACAGAATCCCAATGCTCCCAATTACTTTTTTAACAAACTTCAGGTAGTACATTTTATAGTATATAGCCATGTAGTCATGAAATAAAATAATAATCAGCTTGTCATATCAAAAATAATTACAATATCACTGCATCCCAAATATAAAGTATGACAGGTCCTAATAAATTGCACCATCTGATTTGTAATTAAGCTAATTAAGTTGAAAAGAAACCTTATTCTCACCTGCCCAGAGGTCCTCTTCAGTAATTGCAGGTATATCTGCACAAAGGCTCCTGATAGAGCCCTTGTCTCATCCAGTTTCACACACATTGGACAGCCAAATCTGAAACAGAACAGGATGATAAGACCTCACGAACGACATACAAACTCTACTGGGTTTAATTCTTCCTGTCATGCCTGATTCAGCCTAATGCTAAATAGATGCCTTGTGTTCATGCCTTAAAGGTCTGAAATCTTCCAGCTAATCTGTTATTTTAAAAATCAGAGCATTTCCGGTACTTTGCTGAGCTTTGAAGATGGGCAAAATCAGGTGCACAAAGTTGTGGTGGACTCTGTTACACTGTAAATGCTGGTTGAAAGTCTCTTCACATCCCGATAGCAATCATTAAGTGTTTCCCCTGCCATTATATTAGGGGGGAGGCCCTGCAGTCTGCATCGCGCACAGCGGAGTTCCACCCCGATGCGCGCACACAAGTGAGCACACTCCCATTCCCACTAGTATTTGTGAATATTAAGCCGCAAAACGACTATTTAATAGGGCTGGGTAAAAAATATCGATATCTCGATAATAATCGATTCTCTTTCTTACGGAACGATATTGATTCTTAAATCCCAAGAATCGATTAGTCTAGCCTGTTTTCAGTTAATGGATGGAACACTGAAGGGCACTTCCCATCCAATGAATCGCAATAAGCATTGTGCTTTGGTACTTTTAATATAAATAGATCGCGGTATCAACAGACCGAGGCGCACGTGAACTGATCATCTCCTCCACATTAATACCAGTTTTGGCAGTTTTGGCACATGACTAAACAGCCTAAGGTAAGTTAAAAGAAAGAGTATAACTTTACAAGCCGTATCCTGTCTCATGTAATCGCTCAATCAGCGTTTCAGTTGCGCAAAGACGTCAATATAAAGTCTTGTAAACAATGTCACGCAACGTCACATTTACCTCAGAAAGGAAATTTGGTGGCCAAAACTGTAAAAAACTGTAGAGAGGGGCATTTTTCTAAATATATTGCATCATATAACATATTCATTATAAATTTGACTGTTCTTCAATGTTTAATTTATGT